AACCAGGGCGGAACGTTGGGCAGCAGATGGACTTCTCAGGATCTCTGCGTCCTCAGCTCCCTGTGACCTGAACGCAGCTCTGCTGTTCAGGTCACACAGGACAGTAACCAGTTCAAATAAGGTACTGACACCCCATACGAAACCAGACCCAACCACCAAGTTCGTAAAAATTATTTCCCATTTAAAAAGGGCGTGTTTAATGCTGGGAAGGACGCTTCCAATGGAGGAGAGACAGAGTTGCTCCCCACTGGCGCGGCGTGGGACGGGAGGGAGTGTCCCTGAAGGAATGGCGAGACCTCGGGGTCATTCCTCAAGGAATAGTGGCCTAGAAGTGTCCTCTGCCTGTGACATCAGCGATGGACATGACTCCCCGTATCTAGGAGACAGGCCCCGAGAAGACCCCAAGTAGCCACCTTCTCCATGCCCCAGTTGCTGCTTTGCACAGCTGCCGTGGGTCCGCCACGCTGCCTCCCGAGCCTCAGTTTCCCGCTCTGGAAAACGCTGCTGATGGCAGTGGCCGCAATGCATTCACGGTGCTCTGTCGACCTCCAAAGAGAACATGTCCGGGAACCCGGCTGGAGGCTGCAGACCCTTGCCCAGTGCCAGCTATAAGCCACAGGCCGGTCCCAGGCAGCTGGGTCGGGGTTTTCCTTCTAGTTGGTTATTCGGACGTGTTCTTTTAAAGAAATATTATAAATATTGTTACCATTTGAGTGTATAAAATTTCAAACCTCCAGAGAAGTTGCAAGAATAGTACAAGGAACATCTATGGCAACTTCACCCCACACGACAAACTAAGACACAGGCACAGCCACACCCAGGCACTGCTCACGGGGGAGCCCGGCCACGGCGTGGCTCAGGCTCCGGGACCACAGGGGCCCCTGCTGGTGGCTGCACCTCAAACACAGTCCCAGGCTGGCCCAGGTCGTCTGGAGGAAGCTGCCACCCTGAGCGCGCAGAAGCAGGGCAGTGTGCTGAATCCAGGAGGGCGCTGCACCCCCGCCCACCCAGCGTGTGACCCGGCCTGCCTGTAAGACCGCGGGGACAGTGGACAGGTGTGAGGGGCGTCTCCGCGGGTACCCTCCCTGCGTGATGTGGGTAGGGACGTTGGGGACAATCTAAGCGTCCAGCACTAGGGGGCAGATTGCCTACCCCTAGGAACCCTGCTCAGATCTGCGGGGGTCAAAGGTGCCTAGAAGGGCATTTAGTGCCCTGGGAAATGTTTACAGCTACCTGGGGGGAAGGGGTATCAATTTCCAGCTAGTGGGCTGGCCTCTTTTTGGTGAAATAGAAGGCTTTGGGGGAAATCATACAGGTTCTAGCAGGTTCTAGCAAAACGTAAGGCCGAGCCTCGGGGCCCTTAAATGCACAGCAATAGCTACGCCTCTGTGACACAGGTCCATGGGCCAGTGGTCTCTACAAACCTCCGTCTCTCCATGGAGAACCTCTAATTCGCACATTAACCCTGACAATTAGGTGCCTTTTTGCTCTTTTACAAATAAGAAATAAAGGCACCGAGACATCGTCCCTTTGTGACTCTGCCACAGCCCGTATCAATTTCCAGCTAGTGGGGTGGCCTCTTTTTGGTGAAATAGAAGGCTTCGGGGGAAATCATACAGGTTCTAGCAGGTTCTAGCAAAACGTAAGGCCGAGCCTCGGGGCCCTGAGTGCCAGTGTTGGCTCAGCCACCAGCCGGCGGTGCAGTTTGCCCCCTCATCCAACTTCACAGTCCTCTCCGTCCCAAGTTCAAAACCGCAGTTCTTGTTTTTCCTGATGAAGATTTTTTTTACCAACACCCAGAAGCTTCTGCAGTTACAAAGTACTTCTCAACCTCAGGGCGGGGCGGGGATTTGGGAGAGGCCAGGAAAGTGCTTTAGAAGGAGCGTTTGACACTGTGATGTAAATGTGTAACCATAAAGTGAGAAGCCAAAGGATTCTTTTCCTCAAGCCAAGACGGGAAGTGAAGCGGAACGTCTTCGCTGCTGGGGCGTGGGGTAGAAACGGTGACCGTCTCCTTTGCCATCATCCGGAGGCATGTTGGTTGAAGGAGGGCAACCCCTGGAAAACGGTTTCCGGCAGTTAAAAAGATCCCGCTCACATCAAGTCCAGGACTAAGCTGCCAAGCCAAGCCCGGCTGGCCATCTGCTCCGGAGACCGCTGGGGCCGGGCCTGGGTTGAGCGGGCAGCTGGGATGACTGGGACCCGGCTGGCGTTGCTCACGCCACCCAGAGAACGGAGTCTCACCAGGGTGTCAGCTGCATCGGCCACCTGGACCAAATCAAATGCAGCCTGAAAAATAAAAATCAGTCAAACCCAGCACACGGGGCAGCAGGGGTCAGGGGCTTGGAGAGGCTTGGGAAGAGGTCCTCACCTTCAACTTGGCAGCTCTCACCTGGAGAGCCTTAGCCATTGCGCCCCCTGCTGGCCAGTGCTGCCTTTCCTCTGCCCCTCTTGGCTTCCTCCAACCACACGGACCAACACACTCGCCCAGGCTCTGGGACACTGCCTACCTGGGTGCAAACTCTTGCTGGGGCCCGGCCAACTGTAAGCCTCAGTTTCTTCACATGTAGCACAGATTAATCATGTGAACTCTCAGCACTGCCGTGACTGAAAAGGCTGGCACACCGCAGACAGACCCTGGGTGGACAGCCATCACTTCTCATGCCCTACACTCCGGCACTGGGCGCCTACTCCCATATGACCACGGCGCAAGCCGAAAGCAGGCATGGGGAGGCAACAGGCACAGCAGGTTCCTGACCTGCCCGGGGAGAGGGCCCCAGCTCGGACCCGCAGCCCGAGCCCCTGCTAGGCTCCTCCCCCAGATGCAGCAGGGCCTGGGCTTGCAAGCCTGCCGGCCAGAGTTCAAATAACAGGTCCACCATTTGCAGGTTTGCAGTCTTGGGTCACTCTTCCACTGTTGGGGGGGGGGCAGGATGTCATAAGGGTACTTGTGGGGGTGTAAGCCGAAAACACCCCTAAAGTGGTTGTAACAGCCTAGGAAGCTGCCTCCTCTGCCATCCTCGGGAGCAACCAGATTACAGCCGCCGCTCTTTCCCCGCCATGGCCTTAGGAGGGGCCGCTGACGAGTGGGGGTGGAGCCAGAGGCTGGCGGGGGGGGGGGGGGGGCAACCCCAGCCCGATTTGGGCGCGTCCCCGTGCAACCCCTGACATCCTCCTCAGGCCCCGCATTTATCCAAGATCTTTAAAAACCAGAGCTGCTGGGGAGGGTAATTAACTTTAATAGGAGCGGCCGTCGATTGAAAGCCACAGGGGGGAAGTAATTAGATTTAACAGAAGCCGTGGCTTTCTGAACCAAGACACACAGCGTGGGGGTCCCTGGTCTATAAAGCCTTTGAGATGATGTCTTTCTGTAAAGACTTTCCTGGTGACATTTTCAGCGTGCTCCGTCATTGATGCCAGTCATGGACGGGGCTTCACGTGGCCTTCGCCCCTTGCGATGCACCAGGCCCACCAGGCCGGGCGCTGCTGCCCTCCGGCTCGTGTGCCTTCCCGTCGCCTTTGCGCCGCGCCAGTGCAGCTCTCCCCCTAAACCAGCCTCCGGGGGCCTCACACCCAGGATTTGGGGGGGGGGGGGGCTGGAGGAATAGCGAAAAAGAATCAGTAGCTTTCCCCCAAAACCAGCTTCCCGGGGCCTCACACCCAGGAGGTGGGGGGAGGGCTGGAGGAATGATGAGAAAGACTCGGTGTTGAGCCCAAGCGCGCTGGGGAGACCCCTCACTTCCCGCCAGCGCATTCTGTGGATACTGTCCCCCTGTTCAGTCCCTGGAGAAGGTCCCGGGTTCGCAGGAGCCACTTCACTGGGTGGCCCCAATTTCCCCACCTGGTGCCGACCCCCACCCCAGCAGTGCGCTTGGTGGCTCCTCTGCCCCTCCCCACCAATAAGAAGCTCCCTGACCTCTTCATCCGCGCTGCGCTCAGGGACCCGATTACTGGACCAACCACAAAAACAGAGGGGCCCACTGGCTCCGAGCCCCGCGCTTACACTGAAAATCGGCTTCTCAATCTACGCTTGCAAGCCCACCGCACCCCAAAGGCCCCTTCACAACGGCCGCGAGCGAGGCCGAGCACCGGCCGAAAGCCGGGCTGAAGCGCCATCTAGCGGCGCCCGCGCGACGCCCCATTGTTTCTGCGAGGGCGGAGATCTAGCCTGGCCCCCGGTCGGGGTACAGTTTACCGGTATTAAAGGGGCCGGGGTGGAGGAGGGGCAAGGATCGCGAGAACACAAGCTGGGAGGACGTGAGAGGGTCCTCGCTGCGGGGGAAATTCTAATGCGCGGCTTTACGTCCGGTTGGGAGGGTGGGCACCGTCGCGGGAGGAAGCGAATGGGGCTTTTAAGAGGAAAGGGTCCTAAAACAGAGGCAAGGTTATTCCGGACAGGGGGTGAGGGTTGCAATGCTCAGTGTCCCTCAATCTTTGGCCCCCCGCCCCTGCTAGCGCCCCGCGACGAGCACATTTCCTGGGGAGCCGCATACTGGAGGCGGGGCTCCGTCATCTCCTTTATTGCTTTATAAAATCAAATTCGTCCAGTCAAGAGCGACCTGGCCGCTGGCTCCGCCACCGAGCCGCGGGGAGGAGCTCCTCCGAACACTCCGGCGGAGAGGGGCCTCCTCCGCCCCCAGACCTGGGCGGGGTCACGCGGGCAGAGACCCTGGAGGGGGCTGGGGCCGGAGGCGGGATATGAGTGGGTGTGTCCAGGGGGCGGGGGCCTGATGCAATCCTGATAAGAAATGCTCGGGTGTCATGGGTACCCACCCGCCGAGACGGTAAGGCGCACTATATAAGGCTGCTGGCCCGGAGCCGCTACGCCCTCGGAGCAGCAGCAGCAGCGCAGCGCACCCGGAGTGCACGGCTGGCTGGACGGCCCCGCGGACACCCCCACCTCATCACGCACAGACCTGCAGGGCGTCCCTGCTGCCACCCAGCCTCCCGCACCCCCAAGCCGCCTGAACGAACTGCTCCTGGAGCCCGAGAGAGGTGCCATGCGGAGCGCTCAGATCCGATGCGTCGTGGCCCGCGCCCTGATCCTGGCCGGCCTCTGGCTGGCCACGGCCGGGGGCCCCCTAGCCCTTTCAGACGCTGGGCCGCACGTGCACTACGGCTGGGGGGAGTCCATCCGCCTGCGGCACCTGTACACCTCCGGCCCCCACGGCCCGTCCAGCTGCTTCCTGCGCATCCGCGCGGACGGCACGGTGGACTGCGCGCGGGGCCAGAGCGCGCACAGTGAGTGCCGGCTGGGTCCCCTTCCTTCCCAGAGTCCCTCTTCCCTTCTCCTCCTTCGACTCCCGCGGGCTTCCCACTCCCGATAACGCCAGGGTTTGGGCAAATCTGCATTCTGTTTCCTCCCCGGGTCCCTCCCCCCCCCCGACAGCGCAAGGATTCGGGGAGAGCGCATGGGTGCGTGGACCTACCGCACCCGTGCGTTACCCTCCCCTGGGCCCCCTTTGGCTCCCGCGAACCCCTCGCACGGAGGAATCCCAGGGCTTGGCACCTCAGCATTCCTCTCCCTCCCTGGGCCCCCAACAACGTGAGGAGATAGGGAAATGGGGTGGGGGAGGGCACGGGCGCGTGCACCGACCAAACGTATCCACATGCTCGTGGGCCCCACGGGTTCCGGCGGCAGCTTTTTGCTTCTCTTGTATCAGGTTTGGTGGAAATCAGGGCAGTCGCTTTGCGGAAAGTGGCCATCAAAGGTGTGCACAGTGTCCTGTACCTCTGCATGGGAGCCGACGGCAGGATGCTGGGGCTGGTAGGTGTCGCCGCCGGGCGAGATGCGCTGGGGCGGGGGCCTCCTGGGGAAGGGGCCTGCTGGGGAGGGGGCGGTGCGCTGGATCAGATCCAGAGTTCCTGGCTTCCTCCTGCGGGCCCGCATGGAAGACGGCAAGAGCCCGATTCCGTTCATGTCCGACTTTTTTCTACGAAGTTTAGGGTTCCGGCCAGTGACCGGAGAACGGGTCAAAGCGGCCTTAGCATTTACAGTTGAACCAAAGTTGGTCCTCTCGGGGGTAGGGGACCCGTTACTCAGCTCTGTTGGATATTAAACAGGAAGACGCACCTCGGGCCTTTTCGGTCTGGGCCTGCCCCTAGGTGGTCCTCGCCTCCGTTCCCCTCCCGTTAAAAAAGAAAAAAGGTGTATCCACCACTCGGCTCTTTTTCAAAAGGTAAACCTTCAAACGAGGCAGGAAAAAGTGACATTTAGGATCGGAGATATGTTCAAATTAACTTTTGCACACGCATCAGGAAAGTATTCCAATGCGTTCCCGTTCCCGGTGTCCTGCTCACCTGTACTGCAAATGCCTTTGGGGGTGGGGGGCTAGGGGACTGGGAGGAGGTGGCCCAGGCACCCACGGGAGTGTCAGGACAGGAAGTGTTCGATGCCGGGTCTCTGGTCGGGGAACAAAGACGGCCCCAGCACAGAGGCGCCTGCGCCTCAGTGGACGTCCCGCGTCCCAGGAAGGATACGGATCCCCCGCCGCCCCCGCAGCGGTAACCTTTTTAGTTTCTCAAAATCGTGCTGGAGCTCTGGGGGCTGCCTACTCGTTTATCCAGCGACCCTGTTCGGTTTATGGCGGAGTCCCGCGCGAAAGGGCCGGCATGGAGGCGAAGGAAGGGGGTGGTCTCCTGGTCTCGTTGAAAGCCGACACCCGGAGCAGCTCAGCCCTAGCTGCAACTTTAGTTATTGTGCCGTCGACTTGTGGGGGGGCAGCAATGGCTGGAGGGCCTGCTGGGCTCTAACCTACCATTCTCCTAATCCAAATGGGGGTGCGGGAGGGGAGTCCACCTAAACTCCAGTTCTTCTTCACCCCGTGGGCCTGGCTTAGCAAACAATGAGGATTAAAAAAAAAAAGAGTCCACATTCTCCTAGAAACGAAATCATTTCATTTCTGTACGGAAAAAAGAATTTGATGCTAACTTCTCCCAAATAACCAGCAGAGTAAAATAGTTCACCACTTAGGTTTACTTCCCTCATTTGTCTATTTGTATTTACCCCCCCCTCCCCTGGTGGCTTTATACCAGTGCCTGGGCTGCAGACCTTATCAGGGCCTTATCAACACAGCGATCACCCACCTGCAGTTCAATGACCTTTGTAGGCTTGGGCAGAAATGAGACTGGGTGCCTCCTGGGGTTGTTTACTGCCCAGCCCGCCTGGCTCCCTGCTGTGGGCGGTCCTCTGTGTCCCCAAGGGGTAATGACACTAGCTGGAAACTACTTGCCCACCCGTACCTCTCAATCAACGGAAGGGTCTAGGACCTGGCCCTGGTTTCCACACACGCACGCGCGCACACACACACACACACACACACACACACTTCCGGCCACCCCGCAGGCGCTGCCCTGGGCCTGGGGGAGGAGGACTCTATCTGGACGTCCTGGCAGGTTGCCTGGATGGAACTGGAGGGGGCTGGTGGCAAGGGCACCAAACAAAGACCTGGAATCTCGCAGTTACTGGGGTCTAAACGGGGACTCCCTGTGATTCTTAATGAAGAGACTGACCCTAAAGCATCCTGTTGAGCAGTTTCCTGAATCAGCTGTGGAGTAAGAGGGCATTTTAATGTCGGTACTTAATACTTAAGGTGAAGGGAGAGGGGAGACGTGTGCATGTCAGGTTTCTGATTTCATGGATGTTATTGCTCAGAACAAGACTAAAAAGTGACATTGTGTGGAAAACACAAGGGATCGATGTAAAGTATATACAGACATTGAGTGATACTATCTCCCCGACGTGTGTGTGTTTACAGGTTGATAAATTCTAAAGGTGCATAAAGTACAGAAGTAAATGTATATAAAGTACATACATTTAACACGTTTCGTGCTATATTTAACAGATATCATAAATGTTAAAGTACAGCATAGGGAATATAGTCAGTCATATTGTAATTATGTTGCCAAATGGGTATTAGACTTACGGAGTGATCATTTCGTAAATTTTAAATCTCTAATCACTGTTGTATGCCTGAGAAGAACATATTGTATCTCAGCTGTAATTGGAAAATGAAATTTCAAAAGTGAAGTGATAAGAAAGTTGTAAGTGTATATTAAAAGGTAGTAAGTGTACATCTATATGTAAATGTGCACTTTAATACCTTTGTGTTTTATACCGGACGTTATAACCTTTAGAGCCTTGAACCGCACACCCGGGACTGTGGCTGGAAGGGCGCGCCCGCCGCCCGGGGTGCGCGGTGCTCGGTGCGCGGTGCTCACTGCTCACGCGGTCTGTTTTCTCCGCAGCCTCAGTTCTCGCCTGAGGACTGTGCCTTTGAGGAGGAGATCCGCCCCGATGGCTACAACGTGTACCGGTCCAAGAAGCACCAGCTGCCCGTGTCCCTGAGCAGCGCCAGGCAGAGGCAGCAGTACAAGGACAGGGGCTTTCTGCCGCTGTCCCACTTCCTGCCCATGCTGCCCAGGAGCCCGGCGGAACCGGAGCCCGCGGAGGACCGCCTGGAGCCTGACCCGTACTCTTCGCCCCTGGAGACCGACAGCATGGACCCGTTCGGGATTGCCAACAAGCTGAGGCTGGTGCGAAGCCCCAGCTTTCAGAAATAACGGGCTCCCCCCCCCCCCCCGCAGCCGGGCCAGGCCCCAAGGCCGGGGTGCTAGCATAGGAGGCTCCCGGGCCCGCGTTCTAGTTAGCGCTAGGAAGACACGTTTAGAATTTGTACGCAGACAGTTTAACATCGGCTGTGCCCATTTCTAGGGTGTAGATTTGTATGATCATAAAATTGTAAGCCCTTCACACACACACACCCCTCCCAGGTGCTACCCCGACTCCCTACCCTGACTTTGATCATTGCTGGACGAGTGCTTTCCGAGTGCTGCCCCTGTTCTTCTTGACTGCCTCCACTGACGGGGAACTCTTTATCTTCAGGGACGTGCTTAAGGCTGAAATCCTCTGCCGATTTCTACCATCATTTCTGGCAAGGAGACCAAAGAAAAGCACTCGTTTTACATTCATGTATTGGTGATCAGCTCTGAATGGCAGGCACATTTGACTCCACCACACGTGAGAATTGGTCCAGATCTCAACTCCAAGCCCTCCCCCCACCCCAGGACAGAATTGTCTGGGTCCACAGGCCCCCCCGCCCCCCCGCAGGCTTCCAGAACAGGGGGAGCCCAGAGCTCCCCTCCAGCCTGGGTACATCTTGAGAACGCCCCACGCCGGCTGGTTCTGGGATGGACACCCTCGGGCTGCTTGGCCCTCTGACAGCCAGCACCCTGCATGAAGCCGGTACTTACTTGCCCCCTAAGGGAGCCGGCCACTCTGCCGCCCGCTCAGGGACAGGGAGCGAAGGCACAGCCCCAGCGGCCCCTTCCTTGCCACCGCGGCCTAACTCCAGGGCGTCAGATTCGATCAGATAGTGGGTTTCCTGTGAGGGCCTTTGAGATGGACCCCCCTCTGCCATCTGCACCCCCCTCAGTTGTCTCATCACGTTGGCGGTCTTGGGGCTCTGGCTCCGGATATCGACCCGAAAAGAGCAGCCGCTGACGCTGCTTCCCGTCACTCTGGATGGGCACCCGGCAGCTTCCGACCTCAGCCAAGCCCACGCGGTTCGTGGGAAAGCCGGAGAAAGAATGGGTTAAACGGCCCAATCCCGCCAGTAGCTTCCGAAAAGCAGCCCAGACGCTGAGTTTCCCAGCACTTAGTTGCCAACGTGATATTTCTGACTAATTTATTTTGTTTGCTAGGCACATCTCTTTATCTTCCTGCTTTATTTATACCCTCACATTGTATTTATGTCTGGACATGAGTTGGGGCTTTTTTTACAGTCAAGCGGAGGTGGTATCAGTGTGCGATGCTATCCAACTGGCATGTTGGAGAATGAGGGTGGCAAAGGGGACGAGGTTGGGAGCTTTTGTCTCTGCTGCAGTTCATGTTCAGTAGTTTATCTCGGGCCCTGGCCCCTGTGGCTCAGCTGGTTGGCTGCTGTCCCATGCAACTGTTCAATTCCCGGTCAGGGCACATGCCAGGTTGTGGGTTCAATTCCCAGTCGGGGTGCGTATGGGAGGTAGCTGATCGATGTTCCTCACTCTCCCCCTCTCTGAAATATCAATAAAAACATATTTGGGAAAAAAAGCTTTGAAAAATATTTTCTGTTGGTTTCAGATGTGCAGTATGGTGGTTAGACATTTAATTTGTGAAAATGAGATGTACTAAAAAAAATGACCCGTTGTTTGTCTGAAGTTCAAGTTGAGCTGGGTGCCTGGATTAGACCTTAAGCCCTAGCTTTGGCTCCACCGCTGCCGGGTAACGGGGAGGGAGGGAGGGCAGGGCGGAGGGGGCTCTGCGGGCGCAGCCTGTGCGGCGTGGGGGTCCCGAGCTGGATCTGAAAGCCCGGCAGGGCGGCCCTGGGAGAACCCACTCTTTCTTTGGGCTGCTCTCTACCTTGGAAGTGAGAGTCCTTTCACTGGCCAGTGTCTGTGACCCTAGAGGGTGGTCCACCTTCCAGAAAAGGCCCAGTGGTGCCTGGCGGGGGCTGGCTGGTCTGGGGAATCTGCCTGCTTGTCCAGGCACTTTTGGGCATCTTGTCCCTTCGTGATGACAAGATGGTCCCTCCACCCGCCCCCTCAGCTCCAGGCTTCTCTTCTGTCCTCCCTTGGCCTTTGCAGGGATGACAGGCAGGTCTCAGTCACACCGAGACTCCCAGAATCAGTCTGGAGAACCCTTACCATGTCCCGTGTTCATTCTCCACCCAATCTCCGGAGCCAGCCGTGGGCCCGGAGGCCCTGGGTCACCGCCTCCCAGAGGGGTCAGCCTGGGGAAGCTCAGACAGCCGAGGCCAGCCTGCCCAAGGGTACATACACTGGTACCACGGTGGTGCCAAGTACACACAACTTCCTGCCCAGCCACTTCCTTTTCTTGCCCTCACTTTCCACCTCTTCCCCACCCACCCTCCTTCCCTCCTTCCACTGTGGCCCCTCTGGCCTCCTCCTGGTCCCTTCTCCCTGACCAGTCACCCTTAGGGTCTCTGGTCCCCATTGCTTCCCAACCAGTCCCGCACCGGATCCCGCCCAGGGACGCACCAGCTCTGCCCCCACGGCCTGTCGGGGGCACCCAGGGTGCTGGGATGCCTCCCCAACAACGGTCTGGAAACATCCAGAACACCCCTCTCCGCGCGTCAGCCAGCATTTGTCAGGGGCGCTGTATTGGTTTCCGAGAGCTGCCAAAAAATTCCAGAAATTGGGGCCTGACACCAAGGGAAGTTGATTCTCTGTAGGTTGTAGAGGCCAGAGGCCAGAGATCAAGGTGCCTGGGCCGGCCGCGCTCCCATCAAAGGCTCGGGGGAGGGTCCTTCCTGCCCCCTCCAGCGCTGGGCCTCCAGGTGCCCCGGGCCTGTGGCTGGTCCCGCCAGTCTCTGCCTGTGCTCACGTGGCTTTTCCCCTGTGTCCCTCCCGTTATAGTTTAACACTTGTCGCTGCATTCAGGGCCCATGTGGGCGATCCGGGGTCCTCATGTCTGGAAAGACGCTTTTTCCAAGGTCAAAGTCTCTTGTTCCAGGGTTCTGAGGGTTAGGCTTCGGACATCCCTTTCGGGGGTCATTGTTTAACCACCACAGAGGGACAGATACGAGTAGATTCGTTGTGTTGAAAGCGTATGTACACTGAAACTGTCCTAGAGGCTGCCCATCGCACCCTCGGTCCATCGGGGCAAGTTTACCTTACCGCTCGGCACAGTCAGACTTAGCAAGCCTGCGCGCGGCCCACCGCGGGGAGCACGCCCCCGCCCCTGCGCTCGGCCCACCGTGGGGAGCACGCCCCCGCCCCTGCGCTCGGCCCACCGTGGGGAGCACGCCCCCGCCCCTGCGCTCGGCCCACCGTGGGGAGCACACCCCCGCCCCTGCGCGCGGCCCACCGTGGGGAGCACGCCCCCGCCCCTGCGCGCGGCCCACCGTGGGGAGCACGCCCCCGCCCCTGCGCGCGGCCCACCGTGGGGAGCACAGCCCCGCCCCTGCGCTCGGCCCACCGTGGGGAGCACAACCCCGCCCCTGCGTGGGGAGCACTACCCGCCCACGGCTCACTGTAGGGAACACAGGATGGAGGGGATGTGTGTCGGCGTCCACAGAACCAGCTCAGGCTGGGAGCCCCTGCCCGGGGAGCCCTGTTTCCTTCACAAGGGGGGGCTGGTGGGGTCCTCACAGGACAGGGCTGAGGCCCAAGGCAGGCCGGGCTTGGGTGGAGACACCATCTTCGGTGTGGTTGTCCCAACCCTGCAGTGCCTGGGCCCCAGGTAGCGTGGGGGATCCCTGGCCCAGCTGAAGCGTGGACCCCGACCCCAGCCCTGGATGAGGAGTCTGAGAGCGTGGGGGCAGCGGGCCCCAGAGCCAGCGGCGGGCAGCCAAGGTCCAGCGCCTGCCGCTCTCCTGGGCCTGGGGACAGGGCTGCACACGCTTGCTTCTCCCTCAGAACTGGGTCACCAGTCACGGGGCTCCTTCTCCCCACAGGTCCCATCTGAGGCCTTGACAACTGCCCGTAGGAGCCGCAGCCCGCTCAGAGCCTCAGTGAGTAGCGCTGGTGAAATCCATCTCCAAGTCCTGTTTCTAAGAATCACTAGTGGGCCGTGGCCGCTTGGCTCCGTTAGAGCGCTGGCTCGCGGACCACGGGGTCTGTTCTGATCAAGGGCACGTGCCTCAGGTGCAGTCTGGTCCCCAGCCTTCTTTGGGGTCGTGTGGGAGGCAGGCGATGGATGAGTCTCTCTCACAGGGATGCTTCACTCTCTCCCCCTCCCTGCCCCGCTGTCTGAAAATCAGTGGAAAAGCGCCCTTGGCGGAGGATAAAGAAAAAAGAATTACAAGTAGTGACATAAGGGTCTGCCTCACAGTGAGCCTTCAGCATCGTTATTATGGCCCAAGTGGGGAAATGAAGGTTCAGGAACAGAATGTTGTAGGACCTGCAGAAGGGCACCGCGGAGGGACACCGAGGGGTGGCCAGGCGCAGAGATGCGGTGGGAGTGAGGCAGTAGCCAGGCATGAGCGCGGTGGCCCTCCAGCTGGTGGGTTCTGGAGTTGCCCCACCCCCCCGGCCGGCCGAGGGGGCTCGGCCCAAAGTCCCATCCTAGGCCTTTGCTGAAGGGGTCTGCGCCCACCTGGCTCGGGGCCCGCTCCTCTGATGGTCGATCAGCTGCCGCCCACCCACCCGCTTTGGCAGACGCGCGGGCCAGGAGGCCATGGAACCTTGGATACAGGACCCTGGGGGAGTGTGAGGGGGGAGGAAGGCTCACTCCATCCCTTTGCATCCCGACATTGGGATGTATCAGGAATTTGCTATATTTATAATATTTATTCTTTTTTTTTTATCCTCACCCGAGGACATTTTTGCATTTATTTCTCAGATAGAGCAGGAGGGAGAGAGGGAGGAAGAGAGAGAGAGAAACATCCACGTAAGAGACACATCGACTGGTTGCCAACTGGGGCAGGGAGGAACCGCAACCGAGGTGCGAGGTATGTGCCCTTGACTGGACTCGAACCTGAGACTCTGGTCTGGGAGCCAACACGCTAACTGCTGAGCCGAACTGGTAGGGCTATAATATTTGTTTTTATCTTTACTCTGTT